AGAAAAGAAAAGAAAAGAAAAGAAAAGAAAAGAAAAGAAAAGAAAAGAAAAGAAAAGCAAGCAAGCTTCTAGTTTCATGCAAAAAAAATTAGTTACAGTTAGGACATATGATCCCATTTATTATGGAAGACTCTTCTAAACAATAGATTCAAATTGAAACTATGTTAGAGTCAAGTAAGTTTATAAATCAGTGGTTTTTTCACCCAAAATATTTTTCTAGAATAAAACAGACTGAAAATGTTTTTAATAAAACAGTGTTTCAAATTTGGAAGAATAAATACAATTTTGATAAAGGATATTTCTCCTTTAACTGCTTTGATAACATATTTTGATCAGGATAATTATTATGGTTTGGCTAAAATGAAACTTTTGAGAGCGTATAATCTTTATAGACTAAAAGATTTTTACAGTAATAGTGAACCTCTCAATAAAGATCAGAAGATAGAGCAATGAATAGGTGATAAACTACCGTGGCTTTTTTGGTATCAACTCAAATCTCTTTTGGGCAATAGAAATAGACTAATTTTGAGAATTTAATATTTCATTATTTAGAGCAACCAAAAGGAACAATCTCAAAAATGTATAGGTTATTACTGCAATCAGAAATAGGAGATCCATCATACAGATTAAAGGAAGCTTGGGATACTGGTTTTGGTAATCCCATACAGGAGACAAATTGGCAGAAATTATGGAAACCGGGTGGATTCACTTCAGCTTCAATGCAAGAATTGCAGTGGAAGATTATACATCGTTGTCATTGGACTCCTGTTAGATTGACACATATATATCAAAATTATTCTTTCAAGTGATGGAGAGCCCGTCCAAAAAAAGGCTCATTTTTTCATTTGTGGTGGTCATGTGATAAAGTTACACCCTTTTGGCAAAAAGTGTTTGGAGAGAGAAGTATTATTACTAAAAGAATTGAATGTTCTCCAGCGTTAGGCTTATTGCATTTATATACAGGACCAAACCATAAGCTTAAAAATAAAGAACTGATTATCTATTTAATTTTAGCAGCCAAAATAATAATTGTGGAACACTGGAAAACTTTAGATAACATAACAATTGAATTGGGGATTAACAAGGCCTGCTCAATTGCCACATTAGAAAAAAATCACAAAGTTAAAGTAATGAGACTTCAGAAGCAAGAACTACAATTTTATCAAATTTGGATAGATTTTATGGTTTACCTTAATAGCAATAGATTATAATTTGGTGTGTGTGTGTGTGTGTGTGTGTGTTTATTTATTTATATTTATTAAATTTATCCCTGCCCATCTCCCAACAATGGGGGACTCATTTACCGTGTATGTCTGTATGTATGTGTGTGTGTCTGTGTGTATGTATGTATATATATGTATATATATGTATGTATATATATGGTAAATTTTCATATGTATAGTACCTGTCTCTTTATTCACACAGTCGTAGATCTTTTTTGTATTTTCTATATATTTCTTTTTTCTTTATATGTATCTTGGATTTATGTTAATGTGGCTACCTGATATTTATTTATTTTTATGTTATTTATTATTTATTTTTCAAATTTATATATGCTGCCCATCTCACTATACAAGTGAGATGCTTGAAATAAAAAATATTGCTTGAAATAAAAAAAATAAAAAAAAAATACTAAACCATTCTGGTGCTGATATAAACACATACATAAACCACTCCCTTCCTCCCCATTGATTCCAATATGTACCTTTGTCCTAAAAGAGGAGTCTGTATCATACACTTGTAAGAGAATATAAAGGATCACAAGGACATGGCAATGATAACCTTGCCTGCCCAGTCTAAGTGGGCATGGGCTGCCACTGATCAGGGAAGTTCAGTCAGGACATAGACAGCAAACCAAAAAAGATACCCCACTAGCCCAGTTAACAAGCAGTGCCAAGCAGTAAAAGGGATTCCTTCAGAAAACAGGAATATTGACCAAATGATGCAAAAAAGAGGACTACAAACTTACACTAAAGAAATATAATCAGACAGTGAGAAATTTGGAATGGATCTTAAGAAGCATCTCTTTAATAAGATTAAGAGCAACAATAAAAATGTATATTTATATACCTCAGAATTGGACTAAATAATGTGCTTACGGACATAACGTGTCCGAGAGATCTCCTTTGGCACTTAACCAGGCACCCTGATCTAACATAACTCTTTTCATCTTCTTAGTTAATTTCATGTATTAACTCAGCAGTATAGCATAGCCTTGTCTACTATCAAACTCTTAGAAATATGCTTTATTAAGAAAACCAAACTTCTGCTTTAAACAACAAGTAATTAAATATTGGTGAAGGGACTTCTGGGTATGAGATAATCAACACATATTTACTGTCTCCTGCAGCATTATCCAGAAGTCATCTCACTAATAAATAGCAGCATGAAAACTTACACTGTATAAAAAGTTGTTTTTGTTGAGTTCTACTATATTCATGAGTTTAATTCACATAACAAAGGCTGCAGATGAGCAATAAACATAGACACAGATATTTGCTGCTGATTATATGTAACATAATATCAACATAATACTTAACATAATTTAAGATTAATATTAAACCATGTAAACACATGCACATAACATTAAACCACTCTCTTCCTCCCCACTGATTCCAATACGTGGGATTCCAATTTTCATATATTAAATTATATCCTTCATAATTTCAGCATAATACTTAACATGATTTAACACTATCTTTCCAAAGTAGAATTCTACTCCCATTGCCATGTATAATTCCAAACAGAACAAAACAATTTATTTATGGTGACTGCTTTAATACTCTCAAATAGTGTGGAATCCCACATAGCTAGCCGGTAAATTGACATTCAGGAAATCATCTTTACCTCATGCATGCCTTCTTCAGATATTTGAATGGCTATATAGGTTTAAAGCCCCAATTCACTCAATGGGGAGCAAAACAGGGATCGCCCAAATTAAGGGATGATCAGTGGGAAAAGAAAATCAAGAGCTTTCTTTCTATAAGCATACGTGGCTCAAAAACTTGGTTTGAAGAAACAGCTATACATTTAGTATATTTACTTATATATGCAAACTTAGTTATATAATGCCAATTATTTGTTTGTTGGGACAGACGAACAGGAGTCACATGCAATTACACTGACATGCTCAGAAGAATATCTAAGTGCCACTGACTCCATTATTAAAAATAAGGTCCTTACCGGAACAGATCATCTCCAAGTGATTCCTCTCTTGTTTGGCGACTCTGCTCCTAGAAAAAAGTGAATATTTCTTTAAGAACCAGTAGCAAGGATGAAGTTTTTCACATCAATTTTAAATAGATACATTCATAAATAATACCCTGTGCTGTACAACCACAATGCTATTCATGCTCACAATCTTTCCTTCCTACTGCAATCACAGGCAATATCAAGCCTTTCCTGAGATTTCCAATGAATGGGGAGGGGAGGGGACACAGGGAAGTAGCATATAAGCTGTCTCTGATTTTTCACAGTACCCCTACTTCCATTTCCACTGCAATCCCTGTATGCCGTGTACATGAAAGACTCTAATAATTGCATTCAGTGTTCTGCTATGTACAGAAAGGAACAAGGGCTGCCTGTAGCAAAAACTGAATACATGGGTTCCTAAGGACTCTTATTCACAGCAAGTATATCTCGCTAAGAATCGTCAATGACTTGATGGCACATAATCATCAGTCATGTTCATGGGAGCTTCTAGATAGTTGAGGTTTGCTATTTCCTCAGAGAACATCATATCGAACAGCATTAAAAGTGCCCAGATCAGGTAAGCTGAAGATTCAATCTAGCCCAGTGTTTCTCAACCTTAGCAACTTCAAGATGTATGGACTTCAACTCCCAGAATTCCCCAGCCAGCATGATCTAGCCTATGCTGCACGCTGGAGGGTACGCACATGTGATTTATTTGAAACACTATTTTGCTATAGGCACCCACTTACTGATCTTCTACCTCATTACAGAGTGGCCTACGATAAAAAACAAGAAAACCACTATATTGGGTCTAAGCCTTCAGAAAACCATAAGATATATTTCCTACTTTTTCTGCTCCACAAAGTTAGCAATAATTTTAAAAAGTAACACTAAATTAGAAGTTTGTTTTAAATCCCCACTGAACCATGGAGCTTGGAGTTATAAACTCTCTTTCAGCCTGGTCTAGTTGTAAGAATGTAATTAAGGAAAATACCCCACTTACAACACCTTAAACTCTCAGAGAAAAGTTAGGGTAAAGTAGTCATGGTAAGAAATAAATATTCTACACATACATGCTACAAAATCATATCCTTTTTACAAAGCTGAACAATCTTTTTTGCAAAATATTTTAACCACCACCAACGTCAATGGTGTTTATATTATATATTTTTAACTGACTGATTAATTGAAAAGTTTTCTATGCTATCTGATTCACCAGACTCAACGGATGAACTTAAATGATCATTAGCTGCATGCTCAACAATCTAGGATTAAGGGCTAGAAAAGTGGCAGGAGTGAAAGTCTAAGTTTCTTATTTGTATTTATGTTATACACACATAAACAATTTTTTTTTCAACTCAATATGAAACATGTAGTTGGGAACTAAAAGCACAATAATTACAATGACTGCAATTATAGAGATAGCAACTAAATATGCTTTGTCTTTATGACAGTGAACTTTAGTAAATCTAAGACTCCCCTTTCTTTAATTTTTTTATGGAAACAAGAAACACTTGCCGCTCAATCCTCAAATCCACATTCAAGTAAAACAGCAAAATATGTTTGTTTGCTGCAAGTTAGATAGAGAAGTTTCTAACTTCTTAAACTCAAACAAGTAGGGAAACACAGATGTAAAAGTTAGGCCAAAATTTGCAACAGAATGTTCATAATATTCAAACCATTGTTTAGAGGATAATTTTAAAAACAATTAAACTAAAAATGCATACAGAAAAAGGCAAGCTCAGATTCTGTACAACAAAAGAAATGGTAAATGTGTTAAAGTTAAAAATAGTACAATATTATTATATTGTACAAATACTGTTCCAAAATAGTACAATATTATACTTTTACCTTTATCTTTTAAGTTTATTGATTTCATTGTAATTTCTTTGTTTGACTGTTGTGAGCTTCCCAGAGTCATTGAGAGTTGAGCAGCATACAAGTTTAATAAATTATTATTAATATTTGTTTTTAGCTACTAAAAATGTTTCCACTTGTAGAGCAAATGTTTGTGTTTCCTACCTCCATTTCTTGTCTCAACCAGTCTTCCATTTCAGAATTCCTTCTAGCATGGTGAGCTATCAGATCTGACCCTCCGATAATGTTTGGAAGTCTCCCAGCCCCAGGATAAGCTACCTGTCAAAAAAAAAAAAAAAAAAGCCTATCACTTGGAACAGATACATTAAATTACCGCCAATGGTTGCAGAAGCATAAAAAAATAAATGCAAATTTGGTCCTTGGTTTCATTTATTTCATGAACAAAGTAATTCAATACACTATATGCCAGCATGGAAAAATAATCATACATCAGTTTGGGCCCATTCCTCCACGAAGAATTGTTTTAAGCAGTAACATTTCAAGGTTTTCTAGTATGAATTGCTCATTTCAGCTCCCACCACAACATTTTTATGAGATTTAGGTCTGGACTTAACTTAGCTATTCCAAAACACTGAATTTATTCTTTCACTCTCTTGTTGACCCGCTTGTACTTTTGGGATCACTGTCTTGCTGAATGACTCACTTGTATTTCGGTTTCAGCTGATGGACCGATGGCCTAATGTTCTCCTGTAAAACTCTGATAACAAAGCAGAATTCATGCTTTCTTCTGTTACAGCAAACCATCCAGGTCCTGCATCAGAAAAGCTTTCTTAACCCATGATCTTCCGTGTATCACGAATTCTCCATGTATCAGGAAAAGATCCTCAAATCACTTCCATGTGTGATAGATAGCATGAGGTTCTTGCTGTAGAATGCAGCGCTTGGTTTCTGCCAGACATAACAACACTCATGTAGCCCCCAAAAGTTCTACTTTTAACTCATCTGTCCATAGTTCTCCAGTCATCCTGTAATGGTATGTGGGAATGACTTTGAGAGGCGAGGGGAAGAGATGCTGCCTAGGGAACAATCAGATAAAAGGAGGAGGAGCCCGCAGCTGAATAACAGGCACAGAAAGAAACTTACAAAGGATCTGCCCTAACTCATCAGGCTGTAAAAAGAGACAGTGGGAGATTTGTACTTTCAGACTTGCAAGATTGATGTCAGCATCCCAGGTAGACCAGACAGGAAACATGACAAAATGAGCTAATTCTACTTTATTGTAAGGCTACATTAACAGAGTCTTGCAAGTCTGAAAGTACAAATCTCCCGTTGTCTCTTTTTACAGCCTGATAAGTTAGGGCGGATCCCTTGTAAGTTTCTTTCTGAGCCTGTTATTCAGCTGTGGGTTCCTATCTAATTGTTCCCTAGGCAGCATCTCTTCCCCTCGCCTCTCAAGGTCATTCCCGCATACCATTACACATCCTGACAGCTGTCCAGGTGCTTTTTGGCAATGTTCTTACTGAACAATGGCTTCCACCTTAATAATCTCCTACAAATCCCATTTTTACCCAGAATTTTTCGGACGCTGGAGTTACAAAGAGACTTTGGTCAAGGCAATAGAGACCAACAAATTTCTGGATCTTCTGGGTTTTTTTATGACTTCCAGGATGATTTTATGCTGCGCCCTTGGAGTGATTTTGAAAAACCAACTATTCTTATGAAGATTTACTCTTGTTCTAAATTTTCTTCATCCCAGGACTCTATCTCTGACAATGGATCAGTCGAGTCCCAAAGTTTTAGAAATGGTTTTACAACTTGTTCTGTACTGTAGGCAGTGACCTTTTTTTAACAGAAAACTTCAGAAATTTCTTTGAGCGAGGCATGATGTGCCTCTAGAATTGGTATGGTGAGAACTTCACTGTGATGAGGGAAGCAAACGTTTGTGAGATTTATATAGATCCAGGTTGGCCCACATCAGCCTTGATTTTTATGCAAACAAGTATGATCTACTCACACAACATACCTTTTAATGGAACTAGCTGAACTTGGGGACGACTTCTTTTTCACACTGGCACATTGCATGTTGGATTATTATGCTTATGAAATAAAGGAAACAAGCACCAAATTTTGGTGTTGCTTGTTCACTAAAGCCCCTGTATATGTCAGCAGAACCCACAGTAACCTCTGATAACATTCAGTGGCACGCATAGTAAACATTCAGAAAATTCAAAAGGAGGTGAATACTTTGTAAAAGAACTAATTGTACATACACAAAATCAAAAGTGGAACAAAACAGGATTTAACGAACATTCTTAAAATTTAATTAATATTCCAAGCAAGGCCCTCTTGTGACAGTTTAAACATGTATACAAACCTTTTTAAATTTTTTAAAGTTGTTCAGATGACTGTAATCTGAGTTTGCTGGACAACCAATTTTCCTTGGCTGAGTAACAACCAATGATCTAAATTCCATTAGCAAAAGCTTACTAGGTAGATAACTTGAATCATCTGGATTCTTATTGAGGGAGAGAAAGGAAGAGCAATTAGTAAAGACACTCTAGTTAAAATTCTCTATTATTAGTGAGATTACCAGAAATATGATCCCCCCCGCCCCCACACTGGGGATTATATCCTTAGTCAATATTTCCCAAAATTTTGTAATTAAACCCATCTTATCATAAAAAACTGAAACAACGTGTACTCATAAAATGAGTCATGTTCTATGGAACTTCTCTACCAATTAATTCATCTAATATACAAAGAGGTATTCTTTTCCTTAAAAAAAAAAATCAGAATTCTGCGACAGAGTCACTCTGACAATTCTAGATCTTTTTTTCTCCTTTTGGAGAAATGGGGAGATAAAAATATTACATGTTTTAGAGGCAAGAAGGTGGGCAACCACCAAAGTTGGTGCAATCTAGGGCAGTGTTGTCCAAATTTGGCCACTTTAAGATGAGTGGACTTCAACTTCCAGAATTCCCCAGCCAGCCATGGTGGCTGGGGAATCCTGGGAGTTGAAGTCCACTCATCTTACAGTGGCCAAGTTTGGACAACACTGATCTAAGGACTCTTTCTGATCTGGGGAACCTACATGCAACACCTCAGGCTGTTGATTATCCACCTCCGATCTAATAGTCTCAATAATTTCTTTCTAAAGGACATTTTCTTTTTAAATCTCCCAATATCCCTTACGGAAAACAAAACAAAATGGATCTCCTCCCATACTCCTAATTCTCGAATGGAATAATTACAGTTTGATGGTTTGACAAATAATGCCAAAAGAGAAGAAAAGGGATAGAAAGCACATGAAGTATTTTCTTAAATCTACCTTCAATACTGTTTTGAGTAAGAAGCAGTTATTTAAAAAACTATGGTTAATACCCTGAATATCGTTTTAATTTTAAAATAAATTTCCTTCTATATTCACCTTTTACTAAACTTATTTCTTGTATTTACATCCCACCTTCCTCTAGAGCTCAAGGCACCACATATAGCTCTCCAATTTTATCCTCACAACAACCCTGTGAAGTGGCTTGAGATAAACATGAATACATTCCTTAGATCTGAGTCACTTCTTACAGGTTTTGGTGATTCTTCTTTCATCTCTTCTTTCTGTTTTTTTGCTGGAATGGATTCCTCATTTTTTTCCTGTTTAACAAAAATGTATCTTTATGTGTGTGTGTATACTCTGTTACTCCAATGATTATTTATTTGTTAGATTCATATCTCACCTTTTCTTCAAAAGTTCAAGGCAGTATATACTGTACTCCCTCCTCCATTTTCTCCACACCTAACTCGGGTAGGCTGAGCTAAAAGTGACTGGCTCATAGTCACCAGTGACTTTCTATGACCAAGAGTGGACCTAACCTAACCTGGGTTCCCTCAGTCCTTCTTTAATACCTGAGCCATTATCCTACACTGCCTCCCAAAAGGATTCCTTCCACATAACTTGCGCATAACGACCATCCCCTCCCCTTTTTTTTGATACCTAGTCCTTCATTTTACAAGCAAGGTATTTTTGGATTTTTAAAGATAACATCAAAAAGGATAGCTTTCATTCATGAACAACTTGACTTAAAGTTGCTACAGTTTGCAACTACGCCATAAACCATAAACCCCAGAATAGCCATCCTTATTCAGGCCTGCAGATCTATCCCCAGATTCTTTTCCCATAACAACCAGGCACTTGTATAAAGCCTACTAGCAGATTAAGAGTACAACAGCATCCTCCCTTTGCTAACCCAGGACTCACTGCTCCCAGTACTAAAAATAATTCAAGTATTAATAATTGAATGCCATTAATATCCTCCATGATGTATTCAAACTTTTCTAAAGCTGCCCATGTTCTGATCATCACTAATTTTGTCAGGTTCCACAATTTGGAACTATTCTATAGAAAAATAATTATTAGAACCTTTCATATTTTAAATAGCCAGTCAATTATTTTTTTAAAAAATCCACAAGCCTTTAAAGACAGAAAATCACAAATCAGCATACACCATGAATTCAAGCGAAATTAAATGCTTGAAATATTGCAGTTGACTATACTACTGTAATTTAGGATGCTTACATTTATTAGACAATTATTACAATGTGATATTTTGTGTATGTGCGTTCATGTGTTTGTGTGCTTTCATGGAATGCAAATCCATAATTACAACATACATTATGTTTGTGGAAACAGTAAATCAGCAGCATAACGTTTTAAATATGCTTACTCAAATACACCTATTCAACAGAAAAGCCAATATAAAAGTATGGAATGTGTGAAGCCCTGAACAAAATGAGAGTATTTATGTATGCAAGAATAGATATATGAAAGGTAAAAAGGAAATTATATCTGTGCTAACTGATTAATATAGTGAGGTATATGCAATTTGAAGGACCTAACATGTAAATAGATCCCATGAAGAAAAACAGGCCTTACCAACAATCTAGTGGCTTCTACTTTTGTTGAAATTTCTCCTTTATTATCCAGTTTCATTTTCTTCTTTGCGTTCTGAGCATTTTCCTCATCCTGACCTCCTATATCCTCTTCTGGGTCGAGCTCCTGGCTTGCAAATACAAGTTCTAATGAAGCTTCATCTTCAACAGAGTCCTCTAATTCTTTTCTCTTTGCAGGTTTTTCAACAGAGGTACTTTCCATACCTGTTTGCTTTAACTTGTTATTTTCCATTATTAATGATTTTCCTGAGTCCATGTATGAGTCATTTAGTCCTTGTTTTGATGCACACTGTACTTTTTGAGAATCCATACTGTTTTCCCATAGCAAAAAAGGTACAGATGGTGTTTGATGGGAAACCTGTGATGACTTCTTCTCCATCTTTGCATGTTTTGATAATGGTGTTTCTACATCCTCACTCCTTTCTCTTAAGACAGATAAAAGAGACTGATAATTGGTCTTGCTCTGAAATACCTTTTTGGTGAACAATAGGTGATTGAACAGGTACAATTAGAGGACCTATGGATATTCCACCCAGACAAAGTAGTGCTTAGACTGGATCCCTGCTTCATAAACAAGGCCAATTCTAAATTCCACCAAGCCCATGCCACCATGTGATAACCATTATTATTGGAATGAATTTCAAATGACAGCTCCCCTTAAAACCTTAGGTGCTAAGTTAGCTAACAAAAATAAATGTTAAGAAAGGGAGCTTATTTTTTTACCATTAAGACTTAAGTTAGAAAAATAATTACTGTACCTTTTTTTAGCAGTGATCTGGAAGTAATTTTTAATTGAATTCAATTGTTGCTGTGAATCTCTCGCTCTGTTCCTGCTATGACCTGAAATTTCAGTAGATGAGCATGCTAGACTGGTGTGGTCAGCTCCACGTGTCTTCTTCAGCTCGGGCAAGATTCTCTCTCTGTTTACATTGCCTGCTTCTGCTGGAGTCTCCTTAACAGTAATTATATCCTGTGACTGGATTACAGGAGTTTCTTTCTTTGTTTTCTCTTCTGATAATTCCACACTGTATAAAAGAAAAGGGAACAGGTCAGAAAAAAATATTAATCAAAACTGAGATAAAACACGCTCCTTGAACTGTAATCCATGTGAGGATCTGGAAATAAGAATTCTTAATTATCTTGACATCTAAGAAAATGTTAACACTATATAAAAATGTGCGATATTTTAAAGCCTTATCCTTAGATAGTAATCCCTATCAAAGTTTGCCTCCTTACTGACACTCTAGGATTTTAATTTTTTCCTATTATCTAATATGAGAAAAAGACTATTGTTTAAGATCATATGACCCCATGCTATTTCAAGGAAAATGGGATATGTTGAAATAACTAAATTTTTTTCTCAACTGCTTAGAGTGTAAAGTATACCCAAAGGCAATATAAATGACTAAAATACGTGTATTTAAACGTAATCAAAATAATATTCCATTGCAATTAATGTTGACATTCTAAGTGTAGGCTGCTGTTTTGTTAAAAAAAAAAGCCTTGTTCACTGCAAATAATTAATTTCAGCAACCAACTCCTATGTCTGTTTACTTAGATGCCCATCCAGGATTAGTTGAATGAACCATGCAACTAGATTCTCTTCAACATGCAGCTTAATTTTTAAAATAATCATTCGAAAGTACAGAAGTTAGCACTATGTACAAAATGTCCCTTGCTTCAGCAATTTCAGAACGTAAGAAACAATAGTTTTAACAGCAACTAAAAAGCAATCCCAACAATAACTTACAGTAACGTGTCCATCAGATGGTCCATTTCTGTGTCAGCTACATATACACTGACGTCATCTTGGTTAGAAGGCACCGCTGTTTCCTTTATGGTCACGCTCTGAGAAGGACTCTGTCCAAGAACATGGGATGCTGCTGTCGCAGTTTTTATATCTGCAATTTAAAAATATCAAGGAAGAATGAAGAATTATATCAGAGTTGTATAAATTAAGTTTGCATAATTCTGATGTTTTATTTTTGTTTTTATATATTGTTTTACAACACCTACATTCATACCTGCTGTACAGAGTAAAGCTAGTATGTTACTAAGTAATGTCTAAAGCTAGCGTGTTACTAAGTAAAAAAAAAAATTAAACATGTTATTTCTACTATTCCTGGCGATGTTTTCATTCTACATATTCTCTCAAATGAATCTTAAATATATTAATAGGTCTTAAATATTAATATATTCAAATATTATTATTTTCAATGCTGCTAAAAATACAGTATTATCATTAAAATCAAGCTTTTAGTTATTCTTAAATCAAATCAATCAAATCGTATACCAGAAATCCAAGAAACTGTGTGTTCATGCTGCAGGCTTTAAATTAACCAAGCCATAAAATTTTTAAAACTTGACTTTTAAGTATTCAGATCTCAAATCTAGCTTCTCTCATCTGTTCTTAGCATTAAAGAATTCTGTTTTAGCAAATGAACATTATCTACCATCTAAGCATCCTAATGTTGGTGCTGATACGCCATTAACAATAGCCATTGTTTTGTTACTGGCGATGACTAATGTTCAGTCTTTCTCATAAAACTGTGTGCCTGTCACTTTCTTCAGCTTAACCTACATCCCAGGGTTGCTGATGTGGGTGAAAAAAGGAGAAGAGAGCACTCCTTATGCAGCCTTGAGCTCCTGAAGGAGAGGCAGAATATAAATCTAACACATTATATTTATTGTATTTGTGACCCACACAGTCCTATGCAGACAACTCCATGGCAGTTCCCAATGTAAATCAAAATATCAACAATAAAACCCACTCTATTACTGTAAATCATAGTAAGCTTCATATCCAGTTTAGGACTGAAACTGCATCAGTACAGCATAACAGCTTGCACAGTAATACTAGGAGGAATTCAAATACAGAAGGCGTGATGCAGCCCATGGTTTCGTGACCATAATCACAGGCCAATAATGGGCTCACAGCAAAAGTGAGCTAAAGGGTGCTTCAAAAGATGGGCACCGCTTAGCGCTGCCAATCAAAAGGCACGCAGTTACTCTGCATTTCTTCCTGAAAAGATTTTAGAAGAGAGAGAAAGAAAGACGATGACATTTTGGAAAAAAGAAACGTTACAAACTTCACAATGCAATAAAAACACTACTTCCAAGCATTTTATATTCAAAACCTCACTTACTCATAAAATGTACTGATTTATCTTTGACCTTTCCAAGTTCTAACTATCTAATCAAACTCACAGGACTACTGGGTAAAATGAGTAGTAGGGGTAGGATTCGCGTCTACTGCTATATAAATATACCTGAACTGGAATTAAATCTTGAGCTAACATGCTTCATTCGTCAACATCTTTTACTAGAAAACTATTCATTAAAATATTCTTTGTAATATCAACTTTTAAAGTTTTCCCTCTGGTGAAGTATTTTATCAAAAAGGAGAAAAAGCAAATTATTACTCTTACTGCATAAGAAGGGAAGTTATATATGAATGCTTTATTTTCTTTTTTGTTCAACTGACTTTAATGTATTGATAAGATTATAATTGTTGTTAGGCACCCTGAGTCTTTAAAAAAAGTCTATGAGTTACATCTAACACTCAACAAAACGATGTAACTTTGCTCTCCTTTTCCCTATAACTCCTGTGCTTCAGAGGGTTCAATATGGAAGGAAATTAGAAATTATCTCAGCAATTCTTACATCTATCCTCTGAAGTTAGTCAATGTTGATGAGGCATAGGGATTTGGTAATTCACAACAGAGATGGACTTCCGGGGAAGATGGCCAACTGAAGATGGCTCTGTGAAAAAGCAGAGCCAACGTTTGTGGACTTTTTTAAGGAGCCGGTTAGCAGATGGGCTCCTTTGATCCTCTCTGGATAAAAGAGATAGACAACAGATTGCCCAAGCTGTTTCTTCTTACAGTTGTTCTTTTTCCTCATGAGGAAACAGCAAGACAGCAATCTCTGGTGGTGGTGGTGGGGTTAACCTGGAGAAGGGTAATTTGCCATATCTGCTCTAGCCACAAATGGAGCCTTTCAAAGCACACTAAGTTTGTGCACTTCCCTTGTTAAATACCTTCAGAAATTGCTTATTAATGGCTTTAATGAAGTTAGATACCTTCAAAGGGACAAGAAATTGAAGATTTATTTTTTACAACTTTTAAGAATTTAAAATAAACAGCAAAAAGCAAGGCAAGGCTTTGGCTACAGAAAGTTTTAAAAAGAATAAGGGCTCAGAAAATGTTGGTTGAAAATTAAGGCTTTGAAATGATTTTTAAAGAATAAATGCACGTTTGTGGGAAATAAATTATCATGGCATTTAGAGATATCTTCGAGGAACACCTAGGACTGTGTCAAGACTTTGAATCAACTATGGCAACTATGTTGGGTCTTTTTGGGAACAGTCTGTCTTCAGAACAAAATGTTATAGAACAAGATATGCAACAAATTCCATTTGAGAATAATATGAATGAAACTTTGAATAAGAACCTGCCATTAGATGCAAAGAGAAAACTGTATGAGCTTTTAAAAATTAAGAAGAAAATAAAAAAGACAATCCCAGAGAGTAATGGGAATAATTCTTTTTTGTTGGATTTACAAAAGAGACTGCTTAAAGAATGGAAGGAATTCGTAATAAGGATCAACAACAACTGGAATGGATTAGAGAGAAAGATTGTTCTGTATTAAAAAAAGGAATATAAAATTGGCTTATTTGACCAGGGTTAAAATGGGGTGGTTCTTTTTGGATTTACTGCTATTTTGACTGGAAAAATACTGGATTTGCTTATTTGGTGTTTAAATGCTTTACTTTATACCTATTTTCTGTATCTGAATTGTTTAGTAACTGAATGCTTAGAATCTAATTGTGTGATTTTTTTTTTTTTTTCCTAGGAGAAATTAGCTGTTTATGTTAGGTAAAATTTTAGTCTTTTTTTGTATTAGGATGCTGGGACTACTTTATATGTGTGAATAGTTTAGAGTTGAGATATGAAAGGTTTAATTGAATGGGATAGGTTGTTGTTTGGGGGTGGTTACCTCTGGAATGGTTTTGGAATGGGTTGTGTATTGGAATGTGTTGTTTTTTTAAAGAAGCAATGGTCCCTTTTTGTTATGTTAAACTTTAGGTTTGGTTTGTTTACACTTATGCCTTTTAAATGGAGCTTTGCTTGCAGTTAAGAGTCAAGGTGTGAAAAGCTGAGTTTATATTTGTTAATTAATTTTAATATTTCAGAGCTCTGTTTGGACTTTTTGCTGACAACTAGATAAGGAGAAGATGTTACTTATATGATCTGTTTATTACTAAGACATTATGTTATGGCATGAAGAGTTTTATATTTCTTAATTAAGAGGGTGAAGAAATTATGAAACTGTTTCTTACTTGTGATAAGTGTGGGAAGTCGCTTTCTTAACAGGGGGAATTTTTGTATTCTTTTTTTCTTTTCTTTTGTATTATCTGTTATTGTTATTTTTAAAATCTTAATACAATTATTTAAAAAAAGTAATTCACAATTCAGACTCTTTGCTATATATGGTGAATTCTGTTGTCCTGCTTTCATAAGTAATTGGAGGGGGTGACATAAAGCATAAACAGAGAAAATAGGACTTTCGGATTATACCTCTAGATATAAAACTGAAAATGGATGAAATGATTGGGTTCACAATTACTGTTTTTATATATTGAGCTAAGCATGGTTTACTTAGTCATAGTTTGTTGAGTAAATTACAACTGCGTACATTCATACAGTACACTAATTAAAAATCAAACCACAATACAATTTAGTAAAACAAGTAAACTCAGCCATCTTTACTGCTTTTGGCTAAATATCAATTTCTGAAACAAAAAACCAATAAGGAAAGATCAAACAAAATGAAAAAAGTATTTTTGTTACCTCCACCGGGTGAAGTTTGAGGATTACAGTATCTTTCTGTAGATGCAAAAATAACTGCTAAACCGATTTCTGCCTCTGAAATTGCTCTGTAGTTCTTCCTAACAGAAATAACATACACTGTCAGAAAAAAAGTATCATTCATCTAAAAATATCCACGAAAAATACTTAAAAACAGACTTCCACACAGAATTCAGAGTAGCACAAAAACAGAGTAGCTTGCTAAATCATTCTCTAATCTTAAAAATGCTTTCTTGAAAGGCATTATATGTACAAAACCCTCTAAACCTCACCCTTTTAAGCACTCACAGCAAAGAAAAAATTAAAGGGAACTATCAGTGAACCATTTAATTCTATTAATGTGTAGTTTTAGATCTACAATCCTGTGCCCAGTTTTTAAACCTAAGGGTCCCCATGTGAAAAATTAAAGATGACTTTCTGAACTGGACAACCCTTTAATCAACTAATTTTTTTTTTTTACTATTTCACATTGGAGGGCTTATAATGTATCCAAAACCTTGATAGTAAATGAAAAAATATTTTCAGAAGATTTTGGAGGCGACAGGTACCTTAGAATGTCACATGGCAATACAAATGTCATCATCATTAAGGAGTATCTGGAAAGTTTATTTTTAAAAAATTCCTAAAAGTTTCTTCTGTCAAAATATACTTCACTCTACAACCGATAGTGGGTTACCTAGTAAAATAATTTCAGACATCCTACTAAATACAGCAAAAGCTATTCTAGAACATCTTCAGGACAAATTGTATGATGCAATGAAAAACAGCTTAATCAAATTCAAACACGGTATTTTCCTGCACAAGATAACAAACTATATTTATAATTTTACACCATATTACAAAATGTTGATGACTCAGCCATCCTGTTTTAATCATAAACAATAAGCCACACCTCTTCAAGGCAGCTGTGATGTTATCAATCCATTTGTTGTCCAAGGCAGAAACTGATGGTTGAGAGTTTGTAGATCCTACTTCAATGACACAAGTGTTAGATGCTATCAAAGCAGCAGCATCTTCTGTTTTGTCAGTCAACAGCTTTGCCTCTCCTCCTCCAAGCTTAATTGCTGAACTCAATTTTGCATGCTAGAATTAAGTCAATGAAATTTAAAGAACAAAGCTGATATTAATGTGAACTTTTTTTATAATAAATATACTGGTCATTTCAAAAATTAAATATTAGAGCAAAGATGGAAGGATCCACAAAAAAGATGGAAGGGTCCACAAATACCTATAGTTGAAGAATGGATTATTAAATTAATGGATTTGGCTCAAGTGGCGAAGTTAACAGAGTTAATAAGAGATAATACTGTTTCTAAATTTGTCCCCTCATGGCAGCCTTTCTTGGATTACGTGCTTGTGTGGGAAAAAAATGAGGCTTTGATTGTGGGTTTTGATGATTAGATGGTTTGTGTTGATAGAAATACAGTAATGTGAATTTAGATTAATTAGTGGTAAGAGATTAATTTTCTTTCAATTTGTATTTGTATCTGTATTGGAGATAGTTGGAAGTCACTTTCTGTTTCATCTATCTATCTATTCTCACTACTTTTTTGTCTCTTTTCTTTCATTCTAGCCTCTTTCTTTGCTGTACTCTCTGTTTTGTATTTTAATTGTACTTTCTATATAATATAATAAAGTTTTTATTAAAAAAATTAAATATTAGAGCAACAAATGTGAGGCCTCTTCAAGCTGCAATAAACAAATGTTAAATACAGAAAATATAACAAATACGTTTATTAATGGTTTTAAAGTGTTTCCCAGATTCATTATTTTGTTCTGTCTACAAAGATAACTTTTTAAAACGGTTATCTAGACAGCAAATAAGTAGGGAGATGATGCGCGCTAATAGTTAGCACTGAATTGTACACAGAATAATAATATGAGTAGGAAACATAAGAGAGAAAGTATATATGCACGGTGCCACTTTATATCTCCTTACAGTCATAAGCATGAGAACAACCTGAGTCTGTTTCCTTTCAGGCAGTTTGCTAGTAGACAATTTTAAAAACTGCATGTTCATTTGCCTTTGGTTAATGAGTGAAACCTACCAGGTAACTTTAAATAAACCAAAACAAATATTTGATTGAAAAGTCAAGGGCAGAGTTCTAAGAAGTTCAAAAATCTTCCCTCTGAGATCACAAATGGTACATATATGCAATTATCTACTAAGGAATCAGATTTGTTATACACCTTTAGAAAAACCACAAACCAAACATGGATTCCTATCAAATTTTAATACTGTATGCTTTGGCCAAGGATACTAGGCTTTGTTAATTTTTGAGCACATACATGAGATCTATTGAAATAATTCCTGGTCCATCCACACAACCACCTCTAAGCTAGTTCCAGTTCCTCAACACCCACACAAAACGTCAAGCAAGGGGCATCTACGTGAATGAGTGGACACCTCAGATGTTCTGTCTATTTGAAGGGTCCCTGGGTGCAATCACTTGCTTACCCATGTGCACCCTACCACAGTCATTCAATCCACACTAAGGTTCAGTCCCACTCATCACTCACATAGAGCCCCTAGATACAGCAGGCCACACTTATTTAACTAGAGGTCTAACTTTATTAATTTTTTTCCCAATGGGTAAGAACACTAAAGTATATGAGGGTACCCCAAACAGATCCACAAAAATGGCAGGGGGCAATATTTTTGCTCCTTCCTCTGCCCATGGCGGGGGGGAATTGTTTTTAATTAAATCAGTACATTAATTAATTAAATTTAATTAATTAAATTTAATAAATTTAATTAAATCAGTACATTAACCTTATTGAAAATCTAATACATATTGTACTCCTTTTTTTCTCAAATAACAAATTCAATTGGAGGGCCACAGTATACTGTACAAACTTATCTGAAAATATGATGAATCTATACTATAAACAGACCTTCTGACATAAAAAATACCTTCAATTCTTTGTTTGTCAGGCTTTGAATTAAACTTAAGACTCTCTCAACTTGTCTCCTTGGCACTCTTATGTTGCAATTGCCTTTCACTGACATGCTTTTCAGCTTTTCACTCTAGCCTATAGCCTGGGATTCCTGGTGGCCTTCCATCCAGATAGTAATTCACGCCAACCCCGCTGAGCTAGACAGGGCTTTGAACTGTGAACCAGTTACCTGCTTTGCTGTTAGAAACATAAAAGTTTTGCCTCTGAAGATAGTTCTTCTTCTATGGCACTTGGTCAGATCTACTTTTTCATTCTCAATACTTGGTTCATCAACTCGTGGGAAAAAACTGCAAATAGAGGCAACTGTTATAAAAACATAACTTACATTATAAAAAACAAAGACTTTATTTAAAAACGTAGTATTTATTTATTTATGCATGCATGCATGCATGCAATTTCTATAGCCGCCCATCTCAATCCAAGTGGCTCTGGGCAGTGAACAATTTCAACAATTAAAACCATTACAAATTATACATAAAGGCAGTGAAGAATTATCATAAAAATTACATAAAAATCAACAGTGCAACCAGCTAATGGGGCCCTTAGTACTTTCGGGACCCCAGGCTCGGGCACATAGCCAGGTTTCTGAAGGCTTACAAAAAGCTAGCAGGGTTGGGGCCATCCTGAGCTCCAAAGGAAGAATGTCCCAAAGGGCAGGGGCTGCTGCTGGGAAGGCCCGCCTTCTGGCCCCCGCCAGCTGACATTCCTTGGCTGACGGGATCCGCAGCATCCCCAATCTACTAGACCGAATTGGACAGGAAGAAACTACTGGGAGGAGAAGGTCCCTTAGGTAACCCGGTCCCAAACTATACAGGGCTTTAAAGGTGTCAACCAGCACCTTGAATTGCACCCGGAAGCACACTGGTAACCAATGCAGCTCCTGTAGCAGTGGTGCTACGTGGCACATATCCGACATCATTTACTACCTGTGCAGCCGCATTTTGCACTAACTGCAGCTTCTGAATGCTCTTCAGTTTTTCCACAATCCTCAACCTTTAAATTAATATGTTTTAATATAAAAGAAAATCTCTTTACCATCTCAGAGGGATGTGTTATATCCCAGGTTGAGATATTACTTGGCAAAGCCCTTTCTGGGACATCCAAGCAGGCCTTGGATGAACACAAAGATTGTTACTCCCCTTGTAATATGGTTAAAGTATTACCAAGTATCTGGAGATCCAAAAGTATTTATTTATTAGATTCATATCCCACCTTTCCTTCAGGAGCTCAGGGCTCCCTCCTCCTATTTTTCTCCACAGTTAAAACACTCTGAGATAGGTTGGACTGGGAGACAGTGATTGTCCCAAAGTCATCCAGGAAGCTTCTGTAGCTAAGGGTGGACTAGAACCTGGGTCTCCCCACTCACAGTCCAACATCTTCATCATTATACTAGTAGGGTTTCTGTATGATATATCCACAGTGTACCATTTATCAGAGGAAAAGTTGATAGGTCCAAAAAAGAACTGTGATACTGAAATTCAGTGTTCAGTAATGATATCTTCTCTAGAGATAATATTCATTTCAGTTTTAATTATTTAATTTAAAAATGTTCAGATATGATATCTTCTCTAGAGATAATATTCATTTCAGTTTTAATTATGTATCAAATCTCACCAAACTGTAACTTTTAAAATCATCAGCATTTTTCTGCTGATAAATAAATCTAAGATGTTGCTTAATAT